CCTCAACAGATCAGCTAGTCTGACCACCTGCCCGGGCAGGAAAGAGTGCTGGGGTCAAGTGACCCCAGCCAGGTGCCTATCCAGTCTTCTCTTAAAGACCCCCAAAGTAGAGGACAGCACCACCTCCATTAGAAGCCCATTCCACATACTGGCCACCCTTACTGTAAAGAAGTTTTTCCTGATGCCTAGCATAAATCTGCTCTCTGTCAGTTTGTGACCACTGAATTTTAGGTGGTCACAAGATCACCTCTCAACCTTCTCTTGCATAGGCTGGAAAGGTCCAGGTCCCTTAGTCTCTCCTCATAGGTCTTGGCCTGTAAACCCTTAACCATATGAGTAGCCCTCCTCTGGACCCTCTCGAGATTATCCACATCCTTCTTAAAGTATGGCACCCAAAACTGGATGAAGTACTCCAACTGCAGTCTGACCAATGCTGCATAGAGGGGAAGTATCACCTCCTTGGTTCTATTTGTCATGCATATGCTGATGCATGATAAAGTGCAGTTAGCTTTGCTAATGATTTTGTCTCACTGACAATTCCTGTTCATCTTTGAGTCCATCTTTATGACTCTAAGATTCCTCTCCACTTCTGTGCTGCTGAGAGGGTCATTTCTGAGCCAGTAGGTGTGCTGGATACTTTTACACCCTAGGTGCAGCACTCTGCATTTGTCATCATTGAACTCCATCCTATTGTGTTCTGTCCAATTTTCCAAGCTCTCCAGGTCTGCCTGCAATTATTCCCTAACTTCCAGAGGGTTCACTTCACCCTACAATCTAGTATCATCCACAAACTAGGACAGAGTATACTTCACGCCCACTTCCAAGTCACTGATGAAGACATTGAAGAGTACAGGTCCAAGGACCAAGTCCTGCAGGACCCCACTACCCACATCCTTCCATGGTAATTACCATGCTCCAGCAGACTCCAGCTTCACATACAAAGTTACCTCTAAGCTGCGCATACGCGCAGCTGCGCACGATTAAAAATCTTTGTGCACAGTAACTTTTTAATGTTGTGCATCCACCCAGAGAGGAGCTGGGCTGCTGTTTCCCAGGGAGAAGCTGGGCGCAGAGTGTGGTGGAGGCACCGTGGCCAGCACAGGACACTTACTGGCAGTAAGCTTCTCATTCCTGACTTGGGGAAGGCAGCGGCTCCTCCACTAGGCGGGTCAGGGGCTGGGATGGGATGGGGGCTGGGGCTGGGAGCTGTTGTGGGCTCTGCAGGCTCTGGGTAACTGCTCTGCTCCCCAGCCCCAATGCCATGTGCCTCCTCACTGGGTGAGGCAAGGCAGGGGCAGGGGAGTAGAACAGTTCCCCAGAGCTGGTGGAGCCTGCGCCAGTCCCCAGCCCAAGCTCCCGTCCCTGCCCCTGCCTCACCTTGGGGAGGAGTCATTGCCTGCCTTGCATGAGGAGTGAGGAGCTTACCACTGGTAAAAGTCCTGCGCTGGTCCCAGTGCCTCCCTTCTAGTTCTATCTTCCTTTATAATGAATGATTCTTGGGACATGTTTAGCAGCGAATCTGTAACCCAGGGTTAGGCAAATCACAGCCTATAAGCCAGATATGGCCCACTAACTCATTAGATCCAGTTTGAGGGCGGGTGCCCACCAACTGATTATGTCCAGCCCATGGCTGCCCCACAGCACTCCACATGGGACTGAGCCCCACCTGCTCCTGCCAGGGGCAGCCTGTGCCACGCTTCCACTGGGCCCGGCCTCCATGCACAGCTTCCTGACAGGACTACTGCTGCCCAGGTACTGCTTGGCTCCCCCTGCCTCAAGCAGCTTCTCCTCCTGCCCCTGCTGCACTGCTCTGGGCAGCAGCTAGCATGGAGAAGGGTGGTGAGCGAGGCCCACAGTGTTCCACATGGGGCTGAACCCTACCTGCTCCTACCTGGACACTTACTGCAGGACACTTACTGGTGGACCGCACCGAAAAGTAGAGGCAGGACCAAAGCAGCGGGCTTATGGACTGCTACTCCTTAGAGGGAACACTGTTCACATGTATCAGTGTCCCTGCACTGAAAAATGGCAGTGGGGCGCTTTAAGCTAAAGTTCCTCCAATGTGTTCTAGTTCAAAGCACCCCACTGCCATTTTTCAGCACAGAGATAGTGATGCACATGATGCTGTGGGCACTTTTAATTAGCGCAGCTCTCAGAGCTGTGCTAATTAAAGCACATCCCTGCTTCCCAGAGCACACCTATAAACTCTCTTGGGCTTTAAGATATTTGGGTTCAATCTTGGTTTCCCATCTTATATGGATATTATACTTGACTTTTCCGTGCCCCACTTTCCCATCTATAAAATGGAAAGTGATACTTCCTTTTTTCTCATTTTCTGTCCTGCCCTTTTAGATTGTAAACTGCCTGGTGTTTACATATTGTATGATTATGTGTGTACAGCACCTAGCTCAACTGAATTTAATCTCTGCTGGGACACTTTGACT